TGCAAATATGGTTCATTTTAAATCTGGACACAAAGCATCTCTGTTCAGTTGGATGGGTTGTTGCAACCAGACTGGACCACCGGTGAGTGCAATGAGACCTGAGAGGGGTCCACGGCTGCACCTGCTACTCAGAACACTACGTGCTTTTGTGTCAGTCTCCAAAGGTTTTCAGTAATGTCACAAAATGTCTCAAAATGTCTCTAGTTTTGTTTGTTTCTAGTTGTTTTGGTTACAAAAAAATGGAGTTACTAGAATGGTCAGAATATTTGATAATATATCTACAAAGGTGCTAAGTTGGCAACACTGCCAACCTTGTAAGAGAAACAAACCAAAATGCTGCAGTAACCATGCCAAGCCTAACAAAGTCACAAAAATACAACAAAAACAGAYGTGGATGCTTTAAAATGTAAATGCAAGATAAAAAAGACAAATAAATGAAGAACACAMTTAGTGTCCAAACATTGTCTGTGGACATTTGTGTGACACAAGGGACAAATTCAGGCACAGAATCTACAGAGAGACAGAGGAAAGTGTTTACCTCACAGTGTTCAGATATACGTACATAAAAGACAGCCTTTTTTGGAACTTTTATTTAGTTGATTTTTTTTCATCTGTTTACAAAAAACATTCTCTCACAGGGTCTCGTGATTCACTGCACAAACAATCAAGWCAAGCATAAAACAGGTTTACACAGTGAGACAAGGTATATATACAAGAGGAGTTCAACCCACTTTGGGCAGCTGTGACAGGGAGTTGTCCAGTAACCCATAGGTTGCTGGTTTGATCCCCGGTTCCATCCGTCTCAGTTGTTGTGTCCTTGGGCAAGACACATCACCCGCCTTCCCTACTGGCAGCTTCTGCTCTGTCAGTGTGTCCCAGGGCAGCTGTGGCTACAGTGTAGCTTACCACCATCAGTGTGTGAATGATTGAAGTGCTTTGTAGTTCAACAGGACATGATAAGGTATTACTTATTTATTTTTTACATGTGCACTACTATTTCACATTTTAYAGTAACAGGTTTGTTACATTAGCCCACATCCCACATTCTTTTACTCAAGCATGGAAACTTGTCCAACATTTTGAAAGATATCAATTTATCTAAATCTGCAGTCATGTGTTCTAATATGTAGAACTATTTCAGTCTGTGCACCCACTTGCTGGGGGTTCTGCTTTCTTCCAATGACCATTATCGTTTGATTTGCAAATAATAAAAGAATCTGTAAAATTATTTTGAGGTATATATTTATTAATTGTACTTCCCAAAAAAATCATCAATGAGTCTAGTGATAAATTTGCATTTTTTGGAACTGTAGCTGCGTTTCCATAGCAAATGTGCGCAAAACTTTATCGATATTCTGTTATTGTCGAAWAACACAGTTTCCTAATTGCAGTGTTTCCATTACGTAAGAAATGCAATTAAAGTCAYGCGTGAATACGTTTGTTCTTGCGATAAGTCATTACAAACATGGTGGCAATGGATGTAAACACATAGCATATTGCTACCACGACACTAGCGCTCATCATCAGCCATCAGAGGAGACGTCGGCGTCTTATGGAGGCTTTCCAGCGACAAGCCTCTTATACATGGGAGCAGCTACGTACGGAGCGTTTTTGGGAAATTGTAGTCGTTGAGTTTACTACTTTCTTTTACAACCTCGGTGATTTTACTGCTACTTCTGTTTCCTGTTGTCTTCTTTTTCGCCAGAAGAAACAGCCGATTCTTGATCACGTGATTCGTGATGCGAAAAAAATGTTTCCATTGCAGTTTTGCGAAATACACCAATTTTGATACAGCCAAAAACCACCTCATCCTAGCGCAAAACCATTTTGTCGAAAAACAAGTTTTTTCAAAATTGACGTGTTTCCATTGAACAAATTTGTTTTCGAAATTCTAATTTGCGCATTTTCATGGTCAATGGAAACGCAGCTTGTGACATCATACTTTTTTAAAAGGGCCAAGGTGACGCTCCTTGGTTTGGAGGGTCCTAAAGCACCACTTTCATGTGGCTTCAAGACTGAAACAATGAAAAAAAGTATATATTCACAAAATGCCGTTCCTGYGTTGATTGGGTCTAAACACAACAAAAACAAACAGCGACAGCATGATGCTCACATGTGCAACTAAGAACCCAAATGTTCTGAACTTGTTTCATCTCAGCACCCCATTTTCATTGCCTGGAGCTTTTTTAATTACCCTACTAAACCTGGAAGATGAGAAGCAGCCAGACCTTTCTGTCTTCACAGTCAGGACTTGCTTCAGTCCTCATATATTACTCTCAGATTTGGCAAAGGTGGCCTAATCACACAACAGGCTAGCAGGAAAATCACCTTGACAGATGTCCAAATTACAGGAAAACAGCGTAGCAGGAGAGGAAAACAAATGAACGAGGCAGGGAGGAGAGAGGCTGGAGAAAAACTGGCCCTGCTAGCAGCTATAGTGCGRCGGCAACGTCAAAGTTAGACACATGTATTTGTCTTCTAAAAGTAGAAAGTCTCTGGGACGRGGATGTCGCCTTCAGCACAAAGGAGGGTGATCACTCATCCCCTCAACAAGCAACACAAGAAGAGACAAGCAGCACACTTTGGATTACACCAAACACATCACCCTCTGAATYCAAACAGTTACTGTAAATACTTGCTTTTTATGTACTTTCCTTACAATAATCTTTTTTTTTTTTATCACAGCTGCTCTGCTCATTATGTACAATCAAACTCTGCAGTGTAGGAGGTAATGAAATGTGTGGTAATGTAGAGCGGAGGCATTGATTTGTAAAGTTTCCATCCAGCATCCACAATAAACTGTTATCTTGTTCTTCCAGCACGGGCATCTCAAGAAAACTTTCAAGTAGGGGTCATTATTAATCTTGGGGTGACTCACCAAAACTAAAAATCAAAAAAAAATAAATAAATAAATAAATAAATAAAAAGTTTTATTTTGCTATTTTCATAGATAAGTCAGAAAAATACTGCAATGTGAGAGTTTGAGAATCTCCTGGCCTACTTTATGAAAGTTTTTTACTTTATAGTAATATTTCTAACTGTGAAAATAAAAACACTGAACTCATTAAAGCTTGTTTCCTTCTTTTAAATTCACATTCGTATAATTAAAAACTAGTATTCCTTCCACTCACTGCTTTGCATGCAAACATAYTGAACAAAACGACTAGTAATTCATTGACACTTGGAGTGGATATTGAGGACAATTCTAGATTTTGTAGGCAGTCTGTGAAAAAGACAAAGTGATTGATGGAGCTCTGTGCTGTAGATTATAATCTGGTGAAGCTTTTTTGTTCATTTATTGTCTTTCCAAGATACACAAGGGAGTTGTTGCACTGGCCTGGTAAAAACCAGCYCCKTGTTCTTCACTTTGCTTTGTACAGAGAGTCCGGACCCTCGTCGATTGAGACATGATTGTGTGCTGGAGGCGTGGACTCTGATGAAACTTAAAATGATTGGATCTGATTTGAACCAGTTTTACTAACTTTTACAGACAGAAGCATGGATTTGATCGGGACTGCCGGTTTTACTCTCATGTGGCCAGTGTCTACATGACGGATAAGAAAAGAGAGCCCTGAACAAGAGAACTRCACCGAGTCACTTAATGGGTGACTCCTTGTCAGAGGCCAAAGAAGCCAAATAAGTTGAAACTTTTACTGAACAGATCAAGTCAGTGGACAACAAGATCAAGTTCACCAGGGAAGATGCCGGTCAAGGCAGGTAACTGGGACACAATGAGAGATGTGGAAGCTTCAACACTGAAGTCTAAAGAAAACCTACAAACAGAYCAGCATCTACTGGTTGATTCTCACCACCCACTGCAGCACAAGCTGTCAGGGACCAGAACTCCACCATTCCAGTACATTTCTTACCTGCAGTTCTTCATTTTCTTCTTGTATTTTTATGGCAGTTGGCAAACAACTTAAGGTGCACCCTCCAGATTGATGTGGACCATGTGCTAAAATTTTATTATATTCTTCCTAAATTACCTGTTCCTTTTAAGAASCTAAAAGTGCTGTTAAAAGTTATGTCCCCAGATGATGTTTGAAGCAGTTTCTTTACGACTAACTTACTTTTATTTTTATTGAGATTTCTAATTAATATCTTTCTTTCCTGCGTATATTTATTGTAATCAAAGAAAATATGCTCTATTATTTCCATTTGTCCACAATGATCACAACAACTGTTTATTGATTATTTTAAGCGTCCTTACCTGCAGTTCCTGATTGGCCGGCAGAACTAATTGGCTGCAGCTGCTCCTGATCTTCCTGACAAGCTCGATGTGTTTAAATGGCTGCTGAGATGAATTGGTCTTTGCTGACAAGGTTGTGGTTGGGACATGCAGGGTTAAATAAAACATTACAGTTAGTGGATGAACCTCCAACAGGTTGAAATGAGGGTGGCATACATGTAATAATTCACAATGAAAAGTAGAGAAAGTTAAAACAAAAATTAAGGAAACATGATGTAGAGACATTCAGGATGAACAAGGTATTGGTCACACATGAAAATATAAATAAAGCATTTATTAAMCTTCTAAAGGAAACAGGATTATGTACAAGAATATAGATTAGTTGGGTAAGAGATATCTGGCCCACACTGCAGCACAGTAGATGGAGATAATGTATCTTTACATTGACAACCACCAAAAGATACAAGAAAAGATATATTTGCTGGAACATCTTGTACTTCTGGTATACTTCATGGGTGCCTTTGTGATTATAAAGAATCCAAATCGTGCTTACCTGCTCTAGTATTAACTCTTCTGGAAGCAGCCCTACCCTCTGTGTGCTCAGCTTATGGAAAGCTCCACTTGCCTACCTGCCACTCTGTCTTCACCTGCAAAATACTTACCCATCCTCCAACACATTTTGGATACTTACCCTACTCTCTACGCTGCTGGACCTCCTCAGATCTGTAAGTAAGAAACCCGATGCATCACAACTCTTGTTTGCCTGGACAAAGGATTGATCCTCTCACTCATTTTCAGATGCACCCGGCATCAGCTGTGTGTAGTGTAAATAAACTATTCACTTTTTATCTGCAGTCCCCTAAGTCTGTTTCCTCTCTGCTGTGTTTTCTTGACGTCCCTAGTGTTTATGATAAACTCTACGATGTCAAGCTGAACCAGTCTCAACAAGGACCAAAGGGACAAGGAACACAAGCACATCAAACTTTCACTTAAAAAGTATGCTTAGGTGTCAGTGACATTGTTTACCACTGCCACATTTTGCGACTTTTCTGTTCATTATGACTTACCTTAATGTTGCAAACAAATATTCTGAGGAACTTAAGTAGTGAATTTTCTCATGATTTTAAAGTTCCTGTCCTTCAAATACAAAAACTCAAAGAAAACATTTTTATACTTAAGAAACTTGGCATGATAAATGTGATTTTACCCATTTTGTCACATATTTGGCATATTTTCTTTTGGATTTGGCTCAGCCAAAGTGTAACAGGAAGTGACATCAAAGGGGAACTCATTAATAAAATAAACCCTCTGGTCTTTGTTAATTAAAACAGTATCATTTAAATTTTAACTCTTCATCATCCGTGATTGATAGAGACTCAAAATRATCTAAAGAAACATCAGATTCTTCTCCACAGTCTGTGTTATCAGCTGTTGTAACAACGCTCTGTTTACATGCAGACATTCCCCTTTGACATCACTTCCTGTTTCTTCATGTGCAAATATTTCAACAACTGTTCATTTCAGGGGCGTGAAATTTGTTTTGCAATATGCTATCAATGTTATGTTTTCAAAAATGCATTCATGTTTATTACAAAAATTTCACGTCACAAGCACTTTAATCGTCACTTCCATTAATAAACAAGTGCAGATTAGAGATGAAAGGGGGAAAAAGTAGAAATATTTATTTCAGCCTCTCGGCACTCGACTCTGTGAAAGATTCACAGGTTTGAACTTCATAGAACAGAGAGCAACAACTCAGTCTTTGCTGCAAATCTCTGGGCAGTTATGCTGCGTTATATCGTCAGCAGGGAGTGTTTGCCGAAAACATATCCTGTCCATGCAGACGCAAAACTTCCTGAGGACCGAAATTAGACAGCAACAGGTAAATCAGTGTGAAACAAGCCTCAGTGAGCCTGGAAATGCAAAATTTCCAACCTCTGGTTTTAAAGAATGGCTTCAAAAATGAATTTAAAATATAAAATAGGCAGGTAAATAGAAATTTACCATCAGTCTACACACACACACACACACACACACACACACACACACACACACACACAGCCTCCGGTTATCATAGACGGTGGACTCTATAATCCAATAAGTTGTGCTTCTTGTGTTAAACCCAGTGAATCTGGCACAGAAGGATACCGTGGAGAGTCCGACCCTCTAAGCCCGGCTTGTAGGAGTGGGAAGGAGAAGGGGGGGAAAAAAAACAGCATTTTAGATCTCACCCCCTCACTTCTATGATGATGGCTCATATTCCCCAGAAACAYGGAGGAATTATAATTTAATTGTGTAATTTTATAGCTATTTCCTTTTCCAAAAACATGCATTAAGCTAGATGTATAAAAGACTCGCCCACCAACTGAGCTGTGAGGAGTAAACTGGTGATGGGAATGAGATTGGACGGAAGCTGTTCTGCTTCACTGTCTGTCGGCTCATCAGTCAATAAAAAAGAAGAAAAGCATTCATTTGGAAGGAGAATTATTTCTGCCGAACTGACGCTCAGTTAAAGGGATTCTCCTATAGGGTTTGTTTTACTTTGAAAGGGACAGAATTCATACAATAACAGCTCAGCTTTAACAGCAACCTCTGGGAAGAAAATCTATTGATGCTGTTTGTCACTGATCTGTGCCTGAGCTGCAAATGAACAAACCTGACTTGGTCACTTGTGTGTTCTGCTGCTGAAAACTACACACACACACACACGCACACACACGCACACACACCCATCCACGCATACACACACATCCACGCACACACACATTATGTACATACAAATGACATGAGCACTTGTCTCTGTGTTGCACCAATTAGAAAGACACTTGTCATTTACAAATTACCACCTTCTAATGTTGCATAATTAGTATTTATATAAGCTCTGTTTAAATCAAATCAGACTTTATTTCTGAAGCATGTTTCATACAAACCATGAGTAACACAAAGTGCTTTACACCAGATACAAAACACATGATTAAAACCTCACATTTCTTGAAGAACTGCATATCTCCAGCTGCCTTTCAGGCCAGAATTGTAGAGCCGAGCTGATGGTTAACTAAAACTAGAAACCAGACACTCGTGTGATGAGGAGGGATCTTTGGTCCACAAGACTGAGACCGGACAAGATTTTAACAGCATATTGTGACACAAACTCTTGCATCACAATTGTCTAATTTGTTTCTAAGTTTTTTTCAGGCTTTAAAATGGTTCAATTAATTAAACATGAACTTCTAGTTGGACCTTAAAGAGTTAACCAGATCACTTCAGCTGACTCCTTTAGATGAGGAGGAGCAGGGGCTCTACTTTGAGTTCATTTGGGGTGGGGTGTGTGTGTGTGTGTGGGGGGGGACTGAACCTATCTCTGAAGTTGAACCCTACCACCATATAGGAAACTCATTACTGCTGCAGGATCAGATTCTTTCAACAGGAGCACAAAGGATTGAAAATTTGAGGTTCTTGGACTTAGATTTAAACCACATACAGTATGTTGCATGTTATTAAATTATATTATATGTTGCATACATACTATAAAAGTTTCCTCTGGGCCCTAAAACTGGATTTTTCTTCACACCGATGAAGCAAACGTGATTGTTGCAACATTAGGTAACATTAGCTGTTTTGGCTTCTTGCTGCAGCAGTGTTTGTTTATTAAGTGTTAGGATGCAAAACCAATGCTGTGAATTACGGAAGTTTGTGTRACTAAGCTGCCACTCTTCTGAGTCAGAAAATACTTTCTGTATTTTAGATATTTTCTATTATTATAGGCAGCTGGGAGTGCTGGGTTTGATCAGTTTCCAAAAATATCCCCTCAGGCTACAGGGCAGAGAGTTAACTAATAACCCGAGATTACTTAAAAAGTGACCTTTACTATTACACTCTGTCATGTTCATGCCTTAAATCTTAATTAAACCTTGTTCTCCCTATGGCTTCCAATCAACTTATAGCCTATAACATAGTTTTATAAAAAGAAAACACGTCCCAGAATAAAAACTACACGAGGTACCTTCAAAATACTCTGAACTTTTCCCCAACATACTGTAAATRCACGCCCACGAGGTTACTCAGATGAATGGGTGACGTGGGTGGATGAACCAGCTCTAAAGTGAGCTGCCCATTTTCACYGGGGAGGATATATGAGTTTTGACAGCAGACTCACTCCATTCAAAACACACAGATGGCAAAAATCACTCAGTTCAACAGGGATTAGGTGGGCTGAACTATCCAGTCTGGGCACTTTCTCTGTGTCACTCTGAGGAATCCCAGACAGAAAGGTTTGCTGCTGTTTGGGAGACCGTATAGACAAATTCTCATCTTAAAATACTTCCTCCACATTTGTATTTTMCCCCAACAATTATTAAAGAGGAATTGTATTAAGAGAACTTATTAGCTGTGATGACATTCAGAATGTGTGTTGAGCACAATGCTCAGCTACCTTTACACCAAATTTAGCAAAATATCTAAAATTGACTGAGTTGACACACACACACACACACACACACACACAC